CAAATATGGAATAGAAAAAAAAGGTAAACTAAGGTACACTCCTGATCCTATCGCTGAGTGGTGGTGGCACAGATCAGCCCCAAATTGTCAAGAAAGGTAATTCCTGGTATGCAAGTCACACTTCCATTGTGTTCTCTTTTCTAGATACCCACCAGAGCCTAGGCTAGGGCTATACCTATGATGCGGAAGAAGAAAAGGAAAAAGGTAAGGGAGAGGAGGCTCAAAAAGATTCAGTGCTAGTAGCAAAGACCATTTTCCTGCAAAGTAAAGGAACTTCCTTTCCTATGGAGTTTCAAGAGATGAGATGATTCTTTTCCACATGGGCTAGGTGAAGGGTCTCCCTGCCAAGGTCAAGGAGAGGGAATGTGGAGGCAGGGTGCAATAACCTCTGGGAACCCTACAATTCTTTGAAAGAAGATTGTGGACTAAGGGTGAGGCTCCTGACCCTGGAGTCAAAGCTAACCTGAGATATGCTAAGAAACCTAATTCCAAAGGCAAGAATGGCAAAATGAACTGAGTAGCTCTCCTAAAGAATTAAATTTTCCTCCCAGGGTGCGCCTGGAAGTCTGACAGTCATTTTGATCTGTAAGTTTCCCATAAGCTCTAGGAAATCAACAACACCCACTGTGCCAGTGACAGAAAAGTGACTCCTCCTATACCTGTTCCCCAATTAGTATAGAAGAGGGAAGAAAGAAAGAGATTAATCTGGGCTCAGAGCTAAGCTGAGAAGGCAGGGCAGGATTAAGTCTTTTCAAACTTGGCCTTCTAACCTTTTCCCTTCTCCGCTTGTTGGTTACCTCTTCCTTTACTTACCTAACAAAAGTTTTAGCACCATGAGCTGTGAAAGGAAAAAAGGTTTTCTCATAGGTTCTCATAGGATCTAGAGCCAGGAGGGACTTCAGAGATCATCTACAGAAAGAGCCATCAAGGGGCAGCTAGGTGGCGCAGTGGATGGAGCACCAGCCCTGGAGTCAAGAGGACCTGAGTTCAAATGCGACCTCAGACACATAACACTTACTAGCTGTGTGACCTTGGGCAAGTCACTTGACCCCAATTGCCTACAAAAAAGAAAAAAAAAGGTCACTTGTATAAAGCATATTCCTTTAAACTGCCCTGTGAGGCCAACTCGTCCTTCACCAGTCCCCATGTTAAAAATGAGAAAATTCAGAATCAGAGAGATTAGATGATTTGCTCCAAGTTATAAGGTCATAGATGGAAAAGACCTCAGAGATCATCTAACCCAACCCTTTCACTTTACATATAAGGAAACTGAGGCCCAGGTAGATGAGGCCCCACAGCTAATAAATAGGAGAATCAGGGTTCAAATCCAAATTCTCAGTCCATCCTCCTTTCCATTAGGCTGAGCTAACTCCCAGTCATACAAGCAGTAACCATCAGAGATAATATGCAAATCAGTCAATCAACAAGCATTTATTTAAGCCCATACTATATACTAGGCTATGCTGGGGCAGCGAAGTGGTGCAGTGGGTAGAACACTGGGCCTGAAATCAGGAAGATCTAAGTTCAAATCCAGCTTCAGACACTTGCTAGCTGTGTGACCGTGGACAAGTCACTTAACCTCTATTTGCTTCATTCCTCATCTGTAAAAAGGGGGACACGCTGGAGAAGTAAAGTGCAGTCCCCTCCAGTATCTTTGCCAAGAAAAAGTCCACAGGGTCATGAAGAGCTGGACATGACTGAATAACTTAACAACAATAGGCTAGGCACTGCCGAAGGTGCTTGGATACGTAGACAAAAATGAGCAGTCCTTACTCTCAAAGAACCTATATTCTATCGGTGGAAATGTCATGTACGTATAAAAGTATAACATGGTGGCAGCAAGGTGGCACAGTGGGTAGCACTCTGGCCTTGTAGTCAGGAGGACCTGAGTTCAAATCTGGTCTCAGACATTTGATAATTACTAGCTGTGTGACCCTGGGCAAGTCACTTAACCCTTTTTGCCTTACCAAAAAAGGCAAAAAAAAAAAAGGTAAAACAGGGACCATTCTCCACTGCTCTCACTCCACTACCGCTACCACCTTATCACCACTCCCCTTGGAGCAAGAACCTAGAGCTCCCTTGGAAATTTCCAAAGACATAGTGACTCATCATTTGGGCATTTGGAAGATAATGAACTTCCTGGCTACTTCACCCAGGCGGCACCTCTCCCCTCCTTTCCCCTCCCAGCAAAAGAACTTGGGGTTTTAGAATTATGTAGAAAATCTTGTATGATATCTTGGTCCTGTTCTGCCTAGTGACACTGACTAGAAGGTGGAGGTTCTTTCTTACTCTATTGGTCTCAAATGATAGGGCAAATATAGTTATGTGTAAAAAGTGTATTGCCAAAAGGAATACCATTAAATCTTGAAAATCAGCCTCAAAAGATTTCATCATTTTTTTAAATCAGGGTTGGGGACAGGGGGTGGCCTATGATTTAATCATTGCAGAAATGCCTTCCAGAAGATCAGCCACTCATCAAGAACTTAGAAGAAACAGCTTCCACCCAGCATTGGCTTCAGCTCTCCCATATGGCAAGCAGCACCCTCTGCTTTGACTTTCCCACACAAGGAGATGGAAAAATGGGGGGCACTTTTTCCCTGCCCTACTATTAGCCTTCCATAGATCATGGATTCCTCCAGGCAAGTCACCCCTAATACCATGCTGGCCTTTTTTACTTTGTGTTTCCTTTCTTGAGTATCACATGTCCAGACATGTGGACATGTCCAGAATCGAGAGTGACCTTGTGAGTTTGAAGAGTCAAGAGGTTCTAGGCTCTGTAGGAAGAGTAGCTGTTGGGGGGCAGCAGGCGTTGTTGGCTGTGGAGATAGTAGCCATTTCGCCTTGCTAGAAAATGATGTGTAAAATCAATTCGGGTTAGTTTTGGGGAGGCGTGGCACTAGCAGTGAGAAGAGTCAGCAAAGGCTTCATGTAGAAGGTAGAGCATGTTCTGGGTCTTTAAGGAAGTAAGGGATTCTGTAAAGTGGAGGTGAGGAAGAGCATTCTGGGCCTGGAGGATAATCCAGTGCAAAGGCATGAAGATAGTAGAACCATGGACAAGGAATGGCAGGAAGACCATTTGGCTTGAACAGAGACTGTGGGAAGATGAGTAAATTCATGACAAAGTTAAAATGGTAGGCTTGGGTCAGACTGTGATTGGCTTTAAAAGTCAGAGGAGGTTCTAGTGCCAAGGTGGCAGAGTGGGGAAGGAACTCCCTGGAACTCTCCCAACTTCCGCTTCAAACAACCTTGAAAAGTGCCTCAGAACCAATTTAGGAGCAAGAAAGCAAGAATGAATGATCTGTCTCCCTGGGGTGGGAGTAGAGCCTGGTAAACAAGCAGGTTGTACCTATGATACCTATGGAGAAGGGAAGAATTTATGACCAAACAAGAGATTCAGAGCGTGATGAAATACAAAATGGATAATTTTTGTTATATTAAATTTAAAGGATTTTATATGAACAGAACAAGTACAACCAAGATTTAAAGGACAGCAGAAAGCTGGGGGACTATTTTGACAGCAAATGTCTCTGATAAAGGCTTCATTTCTCAACTATATAGAGAACTGATTCAAATTTATAAGAATACAAGTCATTCTTCAATTGAGGAACAGTCAAAGGACATGAACAGGCGGTTTTCAGATAAAAAAAATCAAAGCTATCTATAATCATATGAAAAAAATGCCCTAAATCACTATTAATTACAGCAATGCAAATTAAAACAACTCTGAGGTACCATCTCACACCCATCAGACTGGCTAATATGACAGAAAAGGAAAATGATGAATGTTGGAAGAAATGTGGGGAAACGGGGACACTAATGCACTGTTGGTGGAGTTGTGAACTGATCCAACCATCCTGGAGAGCAATTTGGGACTATGTCCAAAGGCTTATAAAGCTGTGCATACCTTTTGATCCAGCAATACCACTACTAGGTCTGTATCCCAGAAAGATTAAAAGTGTAGGGCAGAAGGGGATCTACTTGTACAAAAATATTTATAGCAGCCCTTCTTGCGGTTGCAAAAAATTGGAAATTGAGATGTCCATCAACTGAGGAATGGGTGAACAAGTTGTGGTGTATGATTGTAATAGAATATTGTTGTGCTATAAGAAATGACAAGCAGGATGATTTCAGAAAAACCTGGAAGGACTTACATGAATGGACACAAAGTGAAGTGAGCAGAACCAGGAGACCATCGTACACAGTAACAGCAATATTGTATGATAAAGAATTGTGAATGACTTAGCTATTCTTAGCAATAAAAATGCTATCCACCTGCAGAGAAAGAACTGACATCTGCATGCAGACTGAAACATGCTATTTTACACTTTCTTTTTTTGTTCCCAGTCTTCTTGCACAAAATGGCTAATAGGGAAATGTTTTACCTATTGTACATGTATAATCTGTATCAGATTGCTTACCCTCTCAGAGAAGGGGGAGGGGAGAGAGGGATAATATTTGGAACTCAAAACTTTTTTTTAAAAAAATGTTAAAAATTGTTTTTACATGTAATTGAGGGAAAAAAAGTATTATTTTTTTAAAAGTTAAGGAGAGTTTTGTATTTTATCCTAAAGTCATTAGAGTTCCATTGAGCTTTCTTGAGTAGGGCGGTGACTGCAAGCTATGGGAGTCAGGGAGGGACTAAAGTGAATTAAAGGCAGGGAGGGGTTGGGAACAGAGGGAGGGAAGAAGACAGCATAACAATCTAAAACAGTGATGCCTTGGAAGCAGATAGAGAGGGGACCTCTGTTCTAACAAAACCATCTGAGTGGTTCTTTCATTATTTTTTATGTTCTCTGAGTACTTGACAATCTTCAAGATTGTCTTTTCATGTAAGTATATATACTCCATGTTTCAGCTTCAGACTAGTAGCACCCTGAGGGTAGGGGCCTTGTCTCCCCCAACTAGATCATATCTTGATTTTAGGACCCAGCTGTCCATCCCCCAACCTCTTGGAGTGTCTGAATAAGTGTGCCACTAGACAGAGAAGACAGAGACTTAGATCAGTTAAAAGAGAGCTTTTTATTGAATCTACATTAGTATCCAGAAACTAGTCAAGGGACCAAGTGTTCCAACAGTTTTCCATTCTGGGTCTCCAAAGATTAGTTAGTTCCAGCTCTGATCTCAATGGTGGTGACCATGTGTGTGGCCATGACCATGGTGGCCAGGACCTTCTGGGCCACCTGGGCCTTCTGGGCCATGATCTTGGTGGTATTTGTCATGGATTTCAATGGCTATCAAGGCCAACACAAACACAAACTCAGAGAAGAACATATGCTTGTCATTGTCCAAATCAGCCTTCTTGAACACAGAAGCCAGAGAGGTGGTGTTCTTTTTCTGAAAAGGAAGAGATCGTAGATTTCCCATTATTTGAGCACAAATCATCTGCACTGTGAGTGATTCAACACATTTGCATGAACACGCATGTACCTACATACACGCCATGATTGCCCCTCAGACACATTTTGCCCCACCTCCCTTATACCCCACCATGTAGCCATCATGGAGGGTAGGAAGGGAAGTGCAATACTTGACTATGGGCTGCTCAGGACATTCTTCCTTTAATACATATCCCCTATGTCCTATTGGGATTTAGAAAGATAGAGTAAACTTCCTACAATCTGTGTTATTCCTTGGAAATATCCTTATAGGAGAGTGCAGGTGTCCTGGGGCTTCCACTCACCAAATATTCAAAGAACTCAGGGGCCTGTTCCTTAATTAATCCTTCAAACTCTTTCAGCTCCAGGGCATCCTCTTCCCCTGACTTCCGGGAATATTTATGGAAGACTTCAACAATGTGGTTGAGCTGTTCCTCAGAAGCAGTGTACTTTGTGGATGCCATGGTTCAGTGTATTAGGGAGGACCTGCAGAGAAAAATTAAGAATGGAACAAAAAAAATTGACAATGTCTCCATCTACACATTCTAAGCCTGGAGATGTTTCCTCTGGGTCTTTATCCTTACTACCTCTCCTCCTCCAAGCATCCCCCAAAGAGAACTTTCTGCCATCAGGACATAAACCAACTTGTCTGGGGCCCTTTTTTTCCTGAAGATCACGGACCCCAGTTAACTCTAAACCCTCAGTCTCCATTCCTGGTACTAAGCCCCCATCCCTTTCATTTAACTCCCATGCTCAACTTTTAAGTCTCCATCACAAGGAAAATTTTCTAGTGTTTTTATTGGACATTTGAACAGTGCAGAGTTCAAAGAAACTCTAGACTGAAGTGTATCTTGAGTTATCCCTTTCCCATTCCCTATACTGCCCAGGGCCTTGGACACACTAGCCACCTCATCATTATGACCATAGCTAGACTGGCCAGAACTTTAGAATCAGACTGGATCCTGGAAGGTCTCCCAGTCATAGTCACCCTATAATGAGCAGGCCAAGGTAGAGATCCAAGGCCCATCCAAATGAGCTTCTTGGCAGACTTACCAGGAGGAAGCTGCAGGAGGAAAGAGTCAGATGAGTGAACAGCCACTTGCACCTAGAGTCCTTTTATAGAACTTACCTCTGGAGTCCCACCCACAAAGTTGAAGCATCATGGCCTCTGGGTGTGAACTAGGAAACAGTCCTTGGGCAACTCTGCTTAATATTCCCAAAGACTCTGTTCCTGGCAACAGTAGTGACACTCCCACATGCCCCAGGATAGTAGTCTTTTTCCATCCAAGAGATGGCTTGGAGAAATCTTCCCCAAACACCCAGAGAGCAGGGAAGACCTTTCGCTGAATTCTTTTTGCATGTACAAATGACTTTAAGTCTAGGTCCAGGTAACCCTGCCCTTCCCATTCACTACAGCATATTATGAGCTCAGATTTCCCTGGAAATCTGAAAAAATTCTGCCTCTTTTTTCTAGAATCCTGGCACTAGAGGAATCATCAGATCTCAAAATCAAAAGGGATATAGAATATATCTAGTCCAATTTTCTTCCTGATAAATCGAAGGGGTTTTTTATGGATTTTTTGGAGGGGGGAGTGTCAAAGGGCTTCACATTAATGATTTTCAAAACCCTTCAACATCCATGATTTCCTTTGAGCTTTACAACCTTACTGTGAGGATAGACAGGATAGGTATTATTGTCCCTATTTTATAGATGTGCAGACTGAGGCACAGAAAAGTAGAATAAATACCTAAATTCACATAGAGAGTTAATGATGACAAACCCAGAACTAGATGCCTAACCCCTTGACGCAGTCCTGAGTTTTTCTACCTCATCGGGCTAGATTCAATGGTTACTAGCTTAGGTACCATTATAGGATACATAGGCTCTTTAGAATTTAAGCTCCTTGAGGGCAAGAATTATCTTACTTTTGTATTTGTATTCCTAGCACCTAACACATAAGCCTGGCACATAAGTAGACCTTTGATAAATGTTAGTTGACTGGTTGATGGTAGTTCTTAGAACTAGAAGGGACTTTTGAGGTCATCTAGTCCAACCTCTTCACTTTTCAGATAAGGAAACTAAGGCAAAGAGAAAGCAAAAGATTTGACCAATTGATGGGGTATGGGTCACACAGCTGCAATAAGCCAAGATTCAAATATAAGACCTTGGACTCCAAAATGCTCCTTCATCTACGACAAAAATCACCTCAATTTGGGAGAGGAGAGAGGCAAGGAGAGAGAAAGGACTGGGGAGGAGAGTAGAACACTGAGAGAGGAAGATGAGAACCACAGAAAGGGCAGTGATGACAGCATGAAAGACAAGCTTCACCACTGTGCCATGGGCCACTCATGTCTAGGCATAACAGGGAATGGAATTTTCTGAAACTGGGAGCTGTGCAGGGACATGGTTTAGACAGAGCTCTACAAGACACAAAGTTAGGAGAGTGTAGAACCTTACTTCACCATTCCCAAGGACAAAGGCTCTCAAAGCAGAGTCTTGGACCAATCAATCAATTGACATTTAGTCAATGCCTATTATGTAAATATAAATGCATGTAACATGTAAATACTATCTATTTAGTAAATGCCTACTAACTATGGTGAACACTTGGGCATGCAAATACAAAAATGAGACAATCACTGATTTCAAAGTGTACTGGAAGGCTACAACCTGTTCACAGATAAGAAAATATGAGAAAAATTCAAAATACTTCCATTTTTATTTATAATTGTATTGATTTTTATTTTGCTTTCATGCCACCTACATTTCCCAATATATCCCTTCCCCTCTGACTTTCTCCCTTAAAACAAAAAAGGGGCGGGGGGGAAAGGTTCAGCAAAATTAACCAGCACAAACCACATCAGAGATCACACATTTCTACACCCATAATCCCCCTCCCTAGCTTTACAAAGAGAAGGATATGTAGTCCCCTATTTCTAACAACTTTGAAGGGGGGTGGGTTCTGAGAGCCAAAGGTAAGGAGGAAAAGCATTCTGAGTATGGGAATACTCAGAGAAATCCTCACCAAACATCCTGAGAGCAGGGACTTGTTCAGGGATTTGGAGAGAGGAGTTTTCTGTCCTGGGAACAGCAAGGTCACTAGTTTGGCTGGAATGGGTATATATTGAATGAAGAGGAGTACTGTATTTCACCACATAATCATCGCAGATTTTATGCCAATTTTTTTGGCAAAAAAAAAAGTGGTGTGTGACCATTATGTGAGGCTTTTTTTAAAAAAATTGTGCCTGTATTACTTAAAAATCATTTCTTACTAAGCTGTATCACTGGCAGACAAGCTGTACAGTTTAGCTAGTGTAGGAAAATGTAAGTCTTAACATATCACATGACTTATTCATGGCAGCTTCCCCTGCTCCCCTTGTGCTCATGGCTCTTCGTTGGGTTGAGTGACAATACTGTTAGTACTTCAGCACTCTAAACAAACTACCCAAGTGGACTTTCAGAAATATACTGACAATGTACATGCCCTAAGAATTCTAGGCTCTCAGCTTGCAATGTGCTAGAGATAAATGCATATCCATATGCCACTGGTGAATACATTGCTGCTCTGGTTACCTTTTAAGCAATGTGAAGAACAGAATTATATCATGTGACAATTATGCAATGAAAGGTTATAAACCAATTTTTGTACTGGAAAAACAGGGTGCAACAATTATGCGGTGGGAACGATTATGTGGTAAAATTCAGTAACATAATCAGTCTGAAAAGAGAAGCTAGAGCCATATTGTGAAGGACTTTAAATACCAAAAAGAAGAGTTTGTCTTTTATCCTAGCAATAACAAGGAGATACTGAAGTTTCTTTTAGCTGGGGTCAGACCTGAGCTCTAGGAATATGGATTTGGTAGCCATGTGGAAGATGGATTAGAGCGGGGGAAACTGAAGAAATGAAGACCAGTTAGGAATCTATTGGGGAATGAGGGCCTGAACCAGGATGGTTGTCAATAGGAGTGGAGAGAAGGGGATGATGTGAGAGTTTTGAAAAGCAATAAAACTTTATGGAGGAGGCAGAATCAACAAGGTGTGATAATCAACTGGATATTTTGGGGGTGAATAAGAGAAAGAGTTGAGGATACACTCAAGTTTTTGAACCTGAGAGACTAAAAAAATAGTGGTACCCCTAGAAGCTAGGTCCTAGATGGATGTGAGAAAGGCAGGAGGGAATGGGTTGGGGCAGGTGTGCGATCTAGAGGACCTAGAGGGCCACATGTGGGTTCCCTACCCCAGGGAAGGAGTGGGGTAGGATAATGAGTTCAGTTTTGAATATGTCAAGTTTGAGATGGGACACTCCACCATCTGCTTTCCCAGAGTGTAAATTCAACGCAACAAACATTTATGGAAGACCTACTTTGTGCTGAGAAGTGTAAGACATGGTCCTGACATCAAGGAGTTTACAATCTAATTGAAGAGATAGGACCAACATACAAGAAACAAAAGCCAACAGTAGAAGGCAGTCCATACTCTCTTGCTATCATGTAATACAGTGTATAAATGCTATAGAAAATCAGGGGATTGATCAATCAATAAGGGCAGAAGTATCCATGAAGACTCACTTCCTGGGGTTTGAGCTGATTGCAAGATTTTCATGATAGTATGATGTTTTTGTTTGGGGTAGGGACTCATGATTCACTTATGGTGCAACCTCGAAGATACCTAATGATAAGTAGTTTCACATTCACTGGGAAATGTACAGGGCTATCCACAAAGTCTTCTGCCCCATGCAAATGTCCCATAGGTGAGAAAGGACCCAGAATCCCTCTTCCCCAAGCCAATGAATTGGAGATAGCCTTGGTGGAAAAGGAAAGAGAACAATAGCATTAAAGAGTGAGTCAGACCTGAAATAGAATTCTAGCTCTACCACATACTACCAGTGATACCTCAGACAGGTTACCACCTCTCTCTAGGCCCCAGCTTCCTCATTTGTAAAATGATAAGCTTAAACTAGATGACCTCTAAGATCCCTCCCAGCTCTGAGTCTATGATACTGTGACTACAACAAGTGCTGTGCTCTGCCCCCACAGCCCACACAATCCTTTTCCCAAAGCTGCCAATATAGAAAAAACCTACCAGAGCTAAATATTCTCTGGGTTTAACAGGGAGCTTTCCCTCCAACAAGCTTGAATTTTAAAAGAGGATGTACAAAAGAGAGAAAGCATGGCATAATAGGAAGAAGGCCATCAGACAGGGAAAACCTGTGTTCAAGACCTGCCTCTGACACATGCCAGACTCAAGACCATGGACAAGTCAACTACTCTCTGCATCCCAGAACTCTATCTAGCTATCCCCTAAATGCTGCTAGTCTAGGAAACTGTTGAGCTTCATTTTTCAGTCATGTCCAACTCTTTGTGACCCCATTTGGGGTCTTCTTGGCAAAGATACTGGAGTTATTTGTCATTTCCTTCTCCAGCTCATTTGACAGATGAGAAAACTGAGGCATAATTAAGTGACTTGCCCAGGGTCACACAGCTAGTAAGTTTCTGAGGCTGGATTTGAACTCAGATCTTCCTCATTCCAGGCTTGGTGCTCTATCCACTGGGTCACCTAGAGCATCAGAGAATATATTATTAAATAAACAGTTTGTGGATACTCAGGGAACGATCACCATGAGCTAAGTGGGTTCCCTGTGAACGTTGTGTCATTCTAATCCAATTTCCTTTTTTGACCAGAATACATAAGGAGTAAATCAGGGAAATGCTGTAGACACTGATTATCTGGATCTCAATAAGGCAATTTTAAAAATCTCTCATAATATCCTTGTGAACAAAATGTACAGTCATGGACTAGGTGATAATACAATTATGTGTATTTAAAATTTATTGAATTGCCATTTCCAAAGAGTGTTGATTAAGATTGAGATTTGTGTTCCAGGAGCAAGTCAATTACTGGAATGCAACAGCATGCAATGGTGAAATCAAGAGACGAGTTCAAATTCTGAGTCTTCCATTTACCACTTGTTTGACTTTGAATAAATCACCTAACCTCTTTGTGCCTCAGTTCCCTTATCTGTAAAATGAAGGTGTCAGACTAGGTAACCTTCAAGGTCCCTTCCAGTTCTAAATCTGT